ATATATGTCTTGTAAATATTATTCTATTATATGTGATAGTACCACGTTTAACGTTGGTCCTGAGGTGACAATGCCACTCCTTCGATGCGTGCTACTATACTTAATACATCTCTCGATATATGTTAGGTATTAGTAATATCGTCTTAATATACACTAGTAAATGTTTATCAATACTATCCTGCTCCATGTTATACTAGCGAAGCTAGTCATCCTACACTAAAAACATATAGTATACTATTATTATACATAAAGTAAAATTGAGGTACATATATAAGCATGGTGATATTGATTCACAAAGATTTAAATAGTATTTACATGGCTATTAAGCTATTACAAACTATATAATCAATATATATGATATATATATACATATGATATATGTAATAGATAATTACATTAATATAATATATTAACTAATATATATGTATTAATTAATACTATATATAAACATATATTATAATGAATATTAAATACATTATATAATTGATATATGATATTAGTATATATATACATTATATCTTGTATATATAAATAATCATATATATTATATTATATATATACATTATATTAGTGTGAATTTTATCGTATATATAACAAAAGTAAAAGAAATGAAACACATCGTATTTAATCAAGACATACATAAATGATCGAGCTAATGACGTGTGTATATGTAGTACATATATATTATCATGTATATGATCATATTTACACATATGTACAGTGTTATTAATACAATATATGTACTAATTATGAGTGATACAATATTATATGCATACTACATATACATATATATGTAATATATATATATACTAAGTACTAATTAATGAATATAATAAATATACATTGGATTGACATAGTTTAATTACCAATACACTATCCATGTGTATGATTTAGCTGAACGTACAAATACATATAACCTATATGTACACATATTAATATACCAATGCTACACATTATCATGTTAGCAATATTATATGTATTGATTACTATATATTACATATAACTGCTATCTATAGTAACACATATATATTATGATATACATATAATATTGTATGTATATTGGTATTATAGTGTACGCAATATGTCATCATGTAATGTCATATGATGTGATACACTTACTAATACTATTAATACATCAGTTATAGCTCGTCATGTATCAGTACATATATATACGCTATGTTATCATGTACCATGTATGATATAGTGTACATAAGCAATCGTTAAGCTATAGTATCAACTACATATACGTGATATTTATAGCACTGTACTATGCTATAAAGTCAACAATATTATTAAAGATGTATTGTCTACTGATATACATCATTATATGATATCGTATGACAATGGTATCAGTGCGAATCATTATGCATTACATTACCAAACATGTACAACATATAATAACTACGGTATGTGTATATGTTACATTGGCATAGTGGCATACATATCATATGTATGTTTTACATATTTACAGATCATATATATTATATGTTGATAATTGGTATGACATATATATGTATGTGTACATATAGTGAGCATATCGAATATATATTGATCCATGTATCTAATGTCACATACACATATTTTATATGTATATAGTAGCTATTGCATGCCATACAATTGAGGATCTTATATAAGTGTTAACATACATTTAGTTAAGACATGCTCATTACATAGCTGATGCTATAATATATGTTACATATCGATATACTAACCACATTACTAGCTAAGGTACATATATATTAGTTGTAATGCATTATGCTACATGCACATACATGTACTTAATTTAATATTAGTGTATGTACATACAGTACATGGCAACATATCAGTACACTATATATATATATATTACATATTGTTATACCGATTGGGCCACACATTAGTTTACACATTAATGTTAATACCATGTATATCATGTAACTAACTTAGTTACATTCAGCAATGTTACATGAATATTGATAAGTACACTATTGATACAGGCACAATAACATATCAATATTACTCACTTGATACATATATGAATGTTATCATATACAAATATGTATATGGCAACAATGATACATACACTGATAAAACATATTAATAATATGTATTGATGTCAATGTGTACATCATATGTACACAATATATATATGTAATGTGTGCAGCATGTACTAGTATGAACAATTATTATAACTAATATAGTAAATGTTGCATATGATTACATGTTAATTGGTTGTACACAGTATCATATAATGTTACTATTATATTATGTTAATGTGCTAATGTACATATATAGTTAGTAACAATATATTAATGATATGTATGTGCCATATATTGATATACTATTATGATATATACATAATTATATATATTGATACATATGTATCATAATGCACATAACATATATAGATTATTATTAGTATATGTACATATTACTAATATTGCTATAAAACATTATAATTATATATATATGTTAAACATAATTAATGTACATTAACTGATTTAGCACCAATACTGCCACCCACTAGAATATAGAAATCAATTATAAGGCAAGACAAATGCAACATACACTATAATATATTGTACACAATGTACATATATATAGTATGTGCATTGTACATATGTACATATTATTATGTATGTGCATGTACATAGTACATGCACATACATATATATATGTACATATGTACATGCACACCCATACATATATATATGTACATATGTACATGCACATACACATGCACATACATACATGCACATACATATGTACATGCACACATATATATATATGTACATATGTACATGCACATACATATATATATGTACATATGTACATGCACATATGTACATGCACATACATATATATATGTACATATGTACATGCACACATACACATATATATACATATGTTATGTGTATGTACGTGCACATACATGTGTATGTACGTGCAAATACATGTATGTATGCACATACATGTGTATGTAAATGCACATATGTGTATGTGTATACACATATATGTGCATGTACATACACATATATGTGTATGTACATACACATATATGTGTATGTGTATGTACGCGCACATACATGTGTATGTACATGCACATGTATATATATACATATATATATGTATATCCATATATATATATACACACATGCATGAGTACATATATGTACACATACACACTTACGCTATGTGTGTACGATGTGTTTCATTTTTTTTATATACGAATATTTATATATATATATATATATATATATATATATATATATATATATATACATATACATATATATATACGAATTTTTGTAATAGCTGCTGATCTTAATCTTGCAAACGTGCTTCCATTTCTGACGCAATTATTGTGGTGACGCTGCGACATGGAATGCAGGAATGAAACATCAGATAACGAAGTCACCACAATCGGATGATAAGGGCCGCTGGAAGGGGGCATTTCCGGACCAACGTAACGGGACATCACAAAAAAATTTCACTATATCCTGGAAATACTTCATTACGTAATTGTTTGAAAAAAATAATAATAAATGGCTGGAGAGATTAGATACATAGGCCTACAGCGCCACCAACTTTTCACAAACAATTATTTCAAGGTTCGTGGGCAGATCGTCGGCGCTGTCGGGCGCACGACAAACCCCGAATCAAAGTATCGTACAGCTCGAACCAACCCGTCCCGTGCGGCTTCGGTTCCTTTACACATGCAATAAAATTATGATAATAGTAACAGAGGTCTGAATAGCTTTCACCTGATGCCACATCACATGCTAGAATTATATGAATTGTCCTAAAATGAAGTATTTTCATGAATTTAATTAATTTCCACATTACCGTATGCTGTATCATTATCATGCTAGGAAAAATATGTAATGGTGATGATGTCTATTATAATATATAATGGTGCATGATGATACAATAGTAACAATTACCATAACGATAATGAATAAAACTATCATAATAATAAACAATAATGACAATGAAAATAATAATGAGAAGAATAAAATGATGTGATGAATTATGAGAATGATAATGACAATAACAGCATATTGCAAAGACAATGATAACTGTAGATAATGATAATGATAGTCCATTCATTAAGTTCTCATTCAATTAATTACAGCTACTAGTTTTACCCAATTCCGTTGATACATAGATAAGACTCACACCATACTTGATAGGTTTGAAGATGCAGACTGGTTATAATGAATAAATAAATGAAAGATTGAAAGATTATAAAAAAAAAAATGGTAGTATTTTAGCTAATGTGGAGCTTTGTTCGAATGTTTACCTGCTGCCTGTCAAAATGTAAGCATATTCGAACGCATTCCTCTGGCTTCGACTCTACTTCGACAGTGTTTTATTTTATGTCTGCCTTTTGATAAACTTCAAAAACACATATAGTAGATTAACTATTTTCGTAAATTCATTTTCTTCATTATAAAAATTGATCACATACAGTCTTCAACAATGACAAAGAAGACAGTGATGATAAAGGTAATGCTGATGGTGATGAGTAGGGAAAGTAATCACCGGTTTCATCATTAAAAATAGAGGAACGAATTTATCAGACAGTGAAAAAGGAGAGAAAAATGTTATCGGTCATCTAGAAGGGCCAGCTATCCTTTCGTGCAAAGACAACCACGGTCACACATGCGCACATAGTCACATATTTGCATCTATATCTACCTATTTATCAATATTTAATTATCTATCAATCTATAGCTGTCTATCGATATTGATCTATCTACTCGAACTATATATGTGTCTATGACACTCATATACGAGTATGTATGTATACGCGCGCGCACGCACGCACGCACGCATGCACACACGCACACCACACACACACACACACACACACACACACACACACACACACATATATATATATCCCACTTCAAGACAGTTTCTCCTTGAACTAATGAGGAAAATTCTCAGAAGAATCGAGAAGGACCCTCATGATTATGACTCCCGCCAACTCCCGCCGTGGGAAGGGAATACGCGCCTTATCACATTCATCTATCAAGTGCTGATAAGGAAATCGCTCAAAGCCATCTCCCAGCACAGTCTGCTTCCTGAACGCTCGACGTGTACACCCTACATACGTACATAGTGCATCCTAGTGTTCGTTTGTGTCTTGGAGTAGAAGGGGGTGGATACGGGTAAGGTCGAGGTGTATGTAGCACCCTCTGAAGCTCTTTTTGTGTTGGTTATTCTGGTTTGCCTTTTATTTGCTGTAATTATTTGAACAAGGTAATTTGGGAGCATTTGGGTAACATGGAAGTTCTTGTAGTGGTAAGTGATATATAGAGAGAGTGATAGATGTTTTAGAATGAAAGACGAATGAAAATTCAGCTAAGTAAATAGAAGATCGAGGATACATGCATACAGACATACATGGACACAAATACAAATACAGTAGCGTGTACACAAGAATGAATACAACCACAATAAGAAATCAAATTCAATCGTGACATTTCGAACTCGCCAATAATTCCTCATCAGACGGAAAAAAACGAAAAGGTCCTATTTCGGTTATTTATCCGTCCGATGATGAACTCTTGGCCAATTCGAAACGTCGCGATTTAATTTCATTTCCTATTTTGGCGGTTTTCCTATTCATATACGCACAAACATCGTCCACATATAAATATATAACATACACACATACATACATGTGTTAAAAGCATTTAAAATACATTCAACATATCCTTTACAGTCCACAATAATCCCATTCTTTGAAATGCCTCGACAGTGACAGAACAACTGCAGAATCCATACAAACATTCCCCATATTTCTCAGCATTTTCCTTAAGACTTAATCATCCCAAGACGAAAGTAATTCAACAATTTTTTTATTTCACAGGATATCGAGTCGCAGCAGGAAGACCCAGACTGACAGTTACCATAATTAGCAATGAGGACGTGGCTAATACTAATCAGCCTGAGTCTGGCTTGTGCTCAGTCGGACTTCACTTTGCTTTCGGAGGAAGGTCGGTATAGCGAGAGTTCAGAATTAATGTACGTAATGGTGGAGGAAACTCTCTGGAAGAACACTTTATGAGGAATAGAACAAGACTCCGATATATCTCTTTATGACTAGCGAAGCAAAAGTTCAATGAATTCTCTAGATCAGATAATGAACTGAACAAGAATTCGGTAAAACGTCCTGAATCCAATAAATTTTCTATCAGAACACTAAATGAAAAACAGAACAAAAACCCAATAAAGTCTCTAACATAACCCTAAATGAACATCACAAGAATCTAAAAACAAGAAATTTCTAATAAAGATAAAAAGATCCCAGAACAAGAATCCAAAAACAGAAGAAACTTCTAATAATGAAACAAAAATCCCAATTTACAGAACGCGCCAACACCCAGACAATCCGGATAACCGAAGTGCGAAAGGTGTCTCGCCAAAGCACACAGACCAGCGTCCCCGGAGACTTCCCACATCGAGACCACGACGTCAAAATCGTGCTGGAAGACCACCCGCACTTCGCCGACGTCAAGAGGTGGCTTTTGGCGTTCATGCGCGGCGAGGAACAGTTCACGAGCGCCTTCGACGTCCAGGAGAACGTCGGCAGCGAGCAGAAGGAGATTGTGTTCCCGACGGAGCTCATACCCAAAGCCAACGTGGTCTTCATCACTGCGAGGGACGCTGCTGGGAGTACGGTAGCATACGGATCGGCACAGTTTAAAATTCCGGGTAAGTGAAGAGGGAGACTCGGACTTTGCCAAGCCTACTGAGACAAAAGCTTACATCACACACACACACACACACATACAGTATATACACACACATATACAGACACATATACACACACACACACACACACACACACACACACACACACACATATATATATTCGTATATATTTCTGAGAGAGAGAGAGAGATTCAAGTATAGCTTAACATTTGAATTCATTTTCTCCCTGCGACCAGATCTGAACTCGAACCTGGCTTGGGTGGGAAGAGCCTACGATCCGTCCGCTTCCTTTCTGCGCGTGGACACTGGCACCTTACCGGTAGTAGAAATCGGATCCCATGTATGCAAGCAGAACACGAGTCCCTGCTACATCCTGAAGGAGAGCCTCCCAGAGGTTATTCCACGGTGCCTCAACCTCACGGATTCGATCACCGATGAGCACGTGGTGCTGTGTGATGAGACAATGGTTCCTTACCACAGTGAGTTTTGTTTTGGTCCGAGAGGGAGGAAGGCTAGATCAGTAGCAACTCGAGGAGGTGTCATGGCGTCTGTTTTGATGATTGTTCAATGAAAAAATAACCATTAAAATCATTATTTTCCATCCTTTTTGAAAGTTGAAAAAGACCAAAATGATCGACCATATTCACAAAGCATTCGTAACTTTTGTGACGTCAGCAATTTTTTTTTCCAAAAGTAGAATCAGATGCCATGACACCTCCTAGATTAACTTCCAACTCAATTTTAGACAGAGGGAATTCAAAGTATAAACTGGTGTATTCGATTATCCTGCCAATAGATTTTTTGCCATCCAAATATAACATCTGCTTTGATTTTTCAGGACTATCCTCGTCTGTAACTGCCGACTTCAAAGACGATGAACTGTTACTGAGCCTAACCCCCCCTCAAACCGAGGTCGTGAAGAGCATCGAGGTCGTCGCCTACAACCCGAGGGATCCCTCCACCGTCTATTCCCCTGACGACTCCCAGTGTAGTCCCCAGGGAGGAAAGGGGGCACCGGGGCAAGTAGAGTGCTCCCAGAACCTCAGAATGACGGAGAGAGTCGACACGATTGAGTTCATTGTGGTGGTGTTCATGTCTCAGAACGAGTCGCAGCCAGAGTCCATTCTCCTCAGGCACGGATGTAAGTGGCCGGCGGTTTCCGAGGGAGGCCGACGGTCTGCCCCTTTCTGTCCCTCTGTTCGTCCGTTATTCACGTTTTATTTACCGTTCTTTCATTTTCTTCAGTTTTATCTACCAAATGCTAGAAGTAGGAACAGGTAAAGCAAGTGATTTCCTTTTGAAGCTTTGTGATCTGTTAACGAGACTAGACCCGACCATCCCACCACTGCCGCAAATCATCCGAATGAGAAGATGTAGCCTTGACTTCGGATTAAGATGTCTGTAAATTATTTATCAACCATAACAAAGCCTGCACTTCAGTCAAATCTTGCAAATTGATTACTTATATCACATTCTCTTTTTTTATTCTCACATCATGATATACAGGTAATAATTGATTACTAATTCCAATCAACACCGAAATCAAGACACCAGCGTCGCATTCGTAACATTTGCGGTAATGATGGTAACCCTGGACCCGACATTGAAACGTTCAATACTGATCTTAGTATACATCCGTAACATGATCTCAAAGCGTCTCTAAATATTTTCAAAATAACTTGCAGGTGTTTCCAAAGATTCAAAATGCTTGTCCATAACCCAATTATTCGACATAATCACATTCTGACCACGATCCTTTTGTCTTTCAGAAACATATATTCCCCAATTTATGACCCCTTGGCCCTCTTAAAAAAAAAAAAAAAAAAAAAAAAAAGACCAAATCCCTTTTGTCTTTAAAAATAACTGTTAATTGTTCACCAAAAAAAAGTCCCTTTCGTCTTTTTAAAAATATTATCTAATAGCACCCCCCCCCTCGCCCCCTTTTCAAAAAAACAGAAATAATAATAAAAAAAACTAATCACGCCCCTTTGACCTTCTCAATGTCGACGACAAATAACAAATTATATTTACACCACAGTTATAGTCGACGATGGCCAGACGCAGACGGGTGTGATCATAGCCGCTATCATAGGCGTGCTGTTCGTGGTGGCGCTCATCGCGGCCATTGTCATCTGCATCAGGTGAGCCATCTTGTTTTACGCAGTGTTGCCATTGATATTGTCACTAAACCGTTAGATTGGACTTTAAAAAAAACGATAGACAAAAGAGTGAAAGTGCCATATTTTTTTTTTTTCTAGTTGTTAAAATGTCGTTAAATATAGAGTAAACGTTTTAAAAAATCTCGCTAGATCGTAACTCGAAAGTTAGGTCGACCGGGAAAATCGCTAGAGTGGCAACACTGGTGAGATATAGTGGAGGAGCGCTGATAAGGAATATTTTTTATAGGAATTACACTATGCCCTGAAAAAAAGGTGGCCACTTCAGTGCCAATCGTATATCACGTTCATTGATAACTGTTACATTATTTGTTATTTGTTATAAACGCCTCGGAGGTCAAAAAGAGGTCGATTTGTAGTTTGGGGTCAAAAGCTGACATTCGTATATGAAATAAAATTGAATGAAACTTGGCAGATTGATATACTAAGTAATATATTAGTTTTTATTGTATTTTTTTTTATAATTTGTTTTCCTGTATTTCCTGAAAGGTATTCACAGGGTGCAGGTAATACATGTCAATACTTTCTCAGATCTTGGTACGCAGTTTCCCTACTTATGTATGTGGAAAGTAGGGTTTAGGATAGAGTTCCCCTCACTATTGTATATGGAAGCTGAACATCTACTTAATAATCATTGATATTTATTTGTTTGCAATTGCCTGGGAGTTCCATGAAGGGGTCAATGGTCTAAAAGTTCTAAAAATCCCCGACCTAGTTATTTCATTTTTCTCCACTGCTATTTCACCACAGTGTCAAAAAAATAGTAAAGTCTACCATGCCATTCTCAATTTTATTTCCGTTTTCTCTCATGCCACAGGAAGAACAAGAGCAAAGGAAACCACGAAGTCGCCATGAACGCGACCACTAAGTACACATCAGCCCCGACTTCCGATCCTGAACCAGCATAATGTGTTTCCTCACGTAATATAATTTTTACAAATAACAATTATGTATAAGTCTCACAATACTGATAAGACTGCTCCATCTGTAAATACACAATAGACGTTTTGTCCACGTCCTCTTTTTTATGGTGAACGAAAAAAAAAGGAACGGTGAATAGGCCTACCTTTGGGACAAGGGAAAGTGTAATGAACTTAAATGATTTGGTTACTTAACACTGAACAAATATAAGCAGGGTTATGTTATTTATTGGTGTTTTTTAATTGATTTATTATATTTCTATGTCAATGCAACATTACATGAAGCCGGCTGTGGCGTTCCTCATGCATACTTTTATTTTTATAAAAGATGACATTTTTTTAAATATAAATTTGCTATAATGATTTATAGTTTCCATTGCTATCAGAAACACCAATAAAACTGCTTCATATGTAAACACGTAACCAAGCGTTATTTGTTTTCCTGTTTTATTACAATGAACGAAAACGTAATGATGAATAGGCCTATATTTGAAAACGTAGACAGGGTTGGTGCTCCTGTTTACAAGTTGTTTGCTTTGTAACTTATTGTAGCATTATTATTGTATAGCACGGAGTTCCTCGACATTATTTCCCTAACACTTAATGGTGCATTGATTTTCATAGTGCACTGTGATTTATTTGTTCCTTACAGGTGTTTTAATAATGTCAATAAAAAGTACTACTTGTAAAATTATTATCACTACCTTTTCCTGGCCTTGCTATTAAGACCGATATAATTTTTCACAGATACTAGATATCAATTTACTTATAAAGACCATTATTCACTAAATTTCCGAAAAGTTAACTCTGATGCTATTATCATATAATTGCAATGTTCACAAGATAGTTGTATATGAATGAATAGAAAGCGTTTCTCTTTATCCACATTATACAAGGTCTAAAGAGAGACTGGCACATATTAAGGGAAAATGGAGAAAAATTGAGACCAGTGGGTATGGATAAAACTGCCAAGTCACAGTATACATTCAAATATAAAGATATTGTTTACTGTGAAAGATAATGCAGTGTGGTATGGTAAAATCTCCGCCAGAGGTGGTCACGGAGATGAAATGTCCATACGTTTTGAAGCGGAAATGAAAATTTTACCTGATATTCGAGACAACTTTTCGAGACAGATGTTCACTTTTCCTCGGCAAATTAGATTCTTTCAAACTAATAGACAATGAACTTTGCCACAGACGAACAAGAAGTCAAACGCAATTACCTTTTTAGACAATAAAGAGGCAACATTGGTTTAATGCTAACACAAAGACAAACTAGCTCAGATGATGGGATACTTACCAACGAAAGTCACATAGCCGGGCAGCAATTGACGGAGTTTTCGAGATGCATGGTAACGGGCAGACACTTCCAAGCACCCAAGAATACGAAGACGTCTTTGAATATTCCAAAGAACGTCACCCAGGATCCGTGTATGTGGCGCCTACCTTGGAAAGGAGCTGCGTTCGGAACTGCTCATCTATCTCGGACGCACGAGCAAACTAGTCGATAAAGCCGTTCGAATCCCCCTCAAACTTATCCGGACAAGTGTCGATTAGGGCTTCCAAAGACCGAGTTCGACGAGATGGATAATTTGTAAACAATGCCAGACGTTACAATTTTACGTTTTCATTAAATCTGCCGAATAAGCAGCAAAAAGAATGTACTGCGGAGAATTTGAGAATGTACACAGCAAATTTCGTCTATTACCCACAACAACTCGTTTCTAGGAAAACTGACCATAGTATTCATTGTTTCTTTACCAGCTGAGCATTACAGGGGCTGAAGGCTCCGAACACGAACTACTTATCCGACCGGAAGGGCAGTTACGAGTGCGGTAACTGCAGTATTGTCACACAGGGGCGCATTTTTGACGGCAAGTTATTTCAAGATTTCTTGAAAATCTAGAAACTTCTTGTTCATTCTTGATTTTGACGGAACTTCTCGGTCAGATATCTTGGGCTGGTTTCATAACTGAGCCAAGCATTTTCAAACTACCTCTAGAGATAGCTTGTTATAGTTTCATGGCGTCACAATTGTAAATAATCCACAATCTGGTCGACAGAAATGAGTGATTTCTATGGAATTCTCTTATTGGATTATAGTTTGTCACTAATAATGATTATTAAACTACCAAGCTATGGACATATCTGTGCCGACCAGAAGCAACAGTTGGGTCATATATATACCTATATAATTCTTTAGACGATAAAATCTAATTGATTATTATTGTATACTGTCATCCGGAGGATGTTCGAAGAGCATTTTTATGTGCTTTTATTTTCATTCTAAGCTCTGGAAGATCCATACAAATAGCAGTGTCAAACTGTTGCCCTGAAATGAGATAACGATTTTTTTTCTAGTTATTCATAACTTTTTGTATCATATAATTCATAAAAGATTTTTTGAAATTCCTCTCCTTTATCTTCTTCACCAGATACTAAACCTCGTTAAATTCACCATCATTATTAATAACATCTAGTCCGTTTCCGTAACGTTTACTCCTGTCATCCACAGCGATGGGGAAGGTCTTTACATATTGCGATTGTTTGTTTACATTTATAGCAAGCTTTATTCTGGGACCGTTTTTGACGAATTCGACAAGACGAAGCAACCGAACCAAACCTTTGCTTTCTCACGTTTCCCGCCAAACAAGCGTCCATAGTTGGTTGCGGGTGTAAAAAAAAAAAAAAAAAAA